ATTCTATTAAGTGTATTTGCTCTGAAATGCTCTTATGTAGAAAATTATACATGAAAATGTGCTTTGATTCAACTTAGTAACTAGCTGGTGACATCTTTGCACACAGTTTTAAGCAGGTTTTCATTTAATAGCATGCTTCTGTTTTCTGAGCTATTAGTTTCAAACGTAACTTTTTTCTTTACGGAAGTGAACACCTTCATTAAGAAAAAGAATGTAATCTTTAAAATAAATTATTTAAATTCATCATTCTTTAATAAATTCAGCAAATCTTTATCACATGCTTTTCTTTGAAATATACTTTCCATGTGTAGAGTTCTCACTTCCCGCTTTAGCATGAAGTGCTTTACATTGCATTAAAGCATACAGATTGTTTATCAAATACTTGATAGTGACATTTGGGGCAACCAGGTTTAAAGTCTTTCTGGCCTTTTTTCATTAGAGCATGTCCCATAAGATAATGCAGTAATATAATCACCACAGATCATAAGATGTGCTATCAACTTCTGAAATACAATTTCAATCCCATTGAAAAATGTTATGTTATACTTAGAGCATCAGATATGTTCAGCATTCATACAGGTGCAGCACATACACACTGCTAAGCATGTATAATATTCTATACACTTTAAATACTTTATTTAAAGTAAAACTCTAAAAAAGCTTAGTTATTAGGTAATGTCAACGTGTTTGCAGTAATTGTATCTAAAAGCCAGAACCATCCCACACACATACTTACAGCTTGTCATGAAGCAGTTCTCCTAACTTCAGTTCTACAAAGGAACAGGACAAAACAAACAATTACAATCATCCTACTAGCACAGCTTTTCCAAGGGTAGTCTTGTCACACACCAAACTGCCTTATGCCAAGAGTGAACAAGCTGCAGAAAGCAGATCAGGAATTTCTACTTGCATTGGGTTTGCATAGCCTGGGTTTGGTAGCTTGTAGGGAGATGACTACAGGATGGCTTTTGTGAGAAGCTGCCAGAAGCTTCTTCCATGTCCATCCAGCAAAGCCAATCCCTGGTGGCTCCAGAGAGCTGTTGGGCCAATTAGAAACAATAATACCTTGTGGTAACAGATCTAAGAAGAAAAACAAAAAGCAAATTGCACAGTTTCAACTGCAGATGGAGAACAGCCAAGTGAGAACATGGGAGAAGAAGAGCACTGCAGACATCAAGGTCAGTGAAGAAGGAGGGGGAAGAGGTGCTCCAGATGCCAGACCTGAGATTCCCCTGCAGCCCGTGGTGCAGGCCACGGTGAAGCAGCTGTGCCTCTGCAGCCCATGGAGGTCCATGGAGACACGGAGATCCACCTGCAGCCCATGGAGGAGACCCACACCTGAGCAGGTGGATACAGCTCTCCTATGGGAGACCTGTAGAGAGAGAGGCCCTGCTCCCATGCTGGAGAAGCCTGGCTTTGAAGGACTTGTACCCTGTAAAAGAGTGATCCACACTGCAGCCGTTTTGGGAGGACTGTTGCCCATGGGATGGACTCACACTGCAGCAGTTCACTGAGACCTGCTGCTCATGAGATGAACTCATGCTGGAGAAGTTCATGGAGAACTGTCTCCCATGGGTGGGACCCCAGGGGGTGCAGCAGAAGCCTCAGGTGATGAATGGCCATAACCCCCATTCCCTGCCTTCCTGCACTGCTGGGGTGGGAGGCAGAGCTAGAAGGAAGGAGGGGTGGCAGGAAGCTGTTTTTAACGGGTTATTTTACTTCCCACTATGCTGCTCTGATTTTGTCAGTAATAAATTCACTTTGTATCTCTAAGTTGAACCTGTTTTGCCCATGATGATAGTTGGTGAGTGATCTCTCCCAGCCCTTATCTCAACCCATGAACTTTCATTAAGTTTTCTCTCCTCTGTCCAGCTGCAGAGGGAGAGGAGTGAGTGGCTTTGCTGGGTGCCAGGCATCTGGCCCAGGTCAACCCATGACACTATTGCTTTTACTTAGAAAGCATTTTCAAAGTTGAAAGACTAAAAAAAAACCCCAGCGGTTAACAGTGTGCTCTCATCCCTCTGTTATTCTAGGAATTAAAGAACTTTTAGAATTACTAAGCACACAGTGCACTCACAGAGCAAAAAGCTGATATCCTGGACTGCAGGTCAAGGGAGGGGATTCTGCCCCTCTGCTATGGTGAGACCCCATCTGGAACACTGCATCCAGGTCTGGGGTTCCAGCACAGGAAGGACATGGATCTGTTGGTGCAAGTTGAGAAGAGGCTAAGAAAAATGAATGGAAGGCTAAAGCACTTTTCCTATGAAGTCAAGTTGAAAGAGTTGGGGCTCTTCAGCCTGGAGAAGAAAAGGGTCTATGGAGACCATCTAGCATCCTTCCAGTTCATAAAGGAAGGGTAGAAAAGAATGGAGAGAGAGTTTTCACATGGCATATACTGACAGGACAAGGGGAAATGGTGTTAAACTAAAAGAGAGGTTTAGATTAGATACTGGGAGAAATTCTTTACTGGGAGGGTGGTGAGCCACTGGAACAGGTTGCCCATAGAAGTTATGAATCCCCCATCCCTGGCACTGTTCAAGGCCAGGCTGGATGGGGCTTTGGGCAACACAGTCTGGTGAAAGGTGTCCCTGTCCATGTCAGGGGAGTTGGAATGAGATGGTCTTTCAGGTCCCTTCCAACACAAATCATTCCGTGATGATTATCCTGTGAAACAGCAGCATCTGAAAAGCGTGGAATACAGCTGTTTCCTCTGCTCCTTTATTCAGGTGCCCTAGTCTTTCCCAGGGGAGACTACTGAAAGGCTTGCTTTTCCTCATAACTTTTAAAGGAGCCTGTAGATATATTTGATGGGTACACAGATATAAGTAATATAGAGGAATAATTATTTATAGGTAATTTAGAATAATATACAGAAATAATATACAGAAATTGTGTTTATCATGATGTCATATTCTGTGTGGTAAGATGCAGTTTTTATATTTATTTTTCTCTAGTGTAATCATGAAATCATTTGGAAAAACTGTAAACTAGCAGTAGCACCTAATAGTCTAAAGGCACTGTTTAAATGGAAGCAACTGCATTACTGAGATACACGGCATCAGTTCAAAAATGCAGACTCATTTCAAAGATGAAAAATGATGCACTGATGAATTAAATGAATTACTGGACCCTGGAGATCCAAAATTATGCAAGAAACAGAGCGTTGATTCTGCATGCAGGGATGACATTGCCACTTGGCAGAAAAGAAAGTAAGAAATCTTTGCAAAAGAAAAAAAAGCAGATGTAAAAATGTATAAGATAAAAAAACTTTAATTAAAGAGGTATTTATGTAATCTGGAAGAGGAAACAAGGTGAGGTGGCTTGTGATAATTCCAGCCTCAGAGTTAACACAGAATCAATGTAGCTTATTCATCTAAAGCTTGAACCTGGGTCAAACTATTGCTCAGAAGAGCTCAAAGAATTATGCTTAGGGCCTCCAAAGGATTCCAAGTCTTCTCAGAATGAAAGGACTACAACTCACCTTTACAAGCTTCCTCAAAATCTTGGGTTATATCTATCCAGCTGGTATTACTCTTTTCCATCTTGTCAGGCATACCGAGTTCCCATCCTGAATCATCATCTTCTAGTGTAGCTTTCATAACCATGATGCTGCACCTTTAAATTCCTATCAGAGATACCCATATATTTGCACAAATTAGAAAAGGTGCTTTGTGGGAACAATTTTTTTTTCTTTTCAATAATCAGGTAAGAATGGGAAATGAACTAACTTTTTATTTAAACATCTACTGTTACACAAGACCAACAGAAAAACCCTTATTAATAAAAACTCTTTAAGAAAAAACTTTTCTTATGCACAATTTCTTTACAAGTAGCTTGTAGGCTGTGAAATCTCAAAAACTAGGGACACCAGGACATCAACTGTACAGACCTATACTAAAGTGTCTGTTGTCAAATTAAAAATAAATCGGAAGCGTAATAACAGATGCACACATCACAATTTTCTATTTGTTCTTTTATACTGTTAGACAATACGTCCTTCTACTGCTCTGCAATAGGAATTAAAAAGAGGGTACTGTAAAAGTGAAAAAAGATAGTTCCTACGATTTCTTCAGCAGAAAAGATTGCACCACTGAAGCAAGAAGTGCAGCCTGGAATGTAAGTTTTAAACTCCACCGAACAGATATTTCGAACGGGTTTTGTTCTTTCGCAACCTCCCGCCACGCGGAGTTCCACGCTTTCCCGGCCAGCCTGCGTGCGAGGTGTCAGCAACTCTGAACTCCCCTCTGCCGATGGAGCTCCCCAAGAGACGGCTGCGAGCTCGGCAAGCTCTGAGCAGCTTAACCACAGCCGCCGCGGGAGCTTCCAACAAAGGCCCCAGGGGCAGAAAACTTCCAGGGCATCGGGAATTAATAAAAACAAAGGGGACGATAAAAGGGCTTTTGAACAGCAGCCCAGGGGTCCTCTCGGCCCAGCCAAGCTCACTCCCAATCGGGGGCCGTCAGGGTGTCACCAGTTCTCAAGGAAACGCAGGCTGCCAGGCTCAGTGGGCTGCGGTGAGGAAATACGTGGGAAATCAGTTGGAAATAAATTAAATTCCCCCTTGCATTCCAGGACAATCAGGCCCTTGGGGCTCTCCTCTTCCTCCAGGTCACCCCAACTCCGACGCTGCCGGAGCCGCGGCCGCCGTGAGCGCGGCGGGCCCCGCGCAGGCTCCCGGGGACGCCGGGCTCCGGAGCCCCGCCACAGAGGAGGGGCCAGCGCGCCGCCTGCCCCGCTGCGGGCCCGCAGCGCCGATGCCGCGGGCTTCCCCTTCCTCCGCCCTCCCTCGCTGCCCCTGCGGGCTCTGCCTGCGCCCCTCGCCCCGCACCCTTCCCCGGCCTCACCCGCTGAGTCCCACACCGCCGCCCGCCCGCCGCTCCGGCCGGGCCGCCGCTGCACACGCGCAGATCCGCTGCTGCTGCCGCTGCCAGCCCGCGGCCCTGCCGGAGCCCGGCGCAGCCGCACACTGCAGGCGCTGCCGCCACACCCCGCCGCGGCCGCCGCTTACCGATGGCAGCGAGGCGGGGCGAGAGCGGCCGGGGCAGCGCTCGGCACCCGCTGCACTCGCGAGCAACGCGGGGCGGGGCTGCGGCTCCGTCCTGCGCGGCGCGGGCTCGGGCGCCATGAGGCTGCCTTGAGTGCGTGGGGACTGGGCTGGGAAGGGGCTGCGGGAGCTGAGGGCGGCGGGGCGCTGCCGCATAGCGGGAGCAGAGTCTGTGTCCAAGTCTGTTGAGAACGCTGTATAAATAGCTAAAAGGCTTGTGTCGACAGGACGGAGCCAGGTTTTTCTCAGTGCCGCCGAGCAATAGGACAAAAGGCAATGTACACAAACGGATGCACAGGAAGTCCCACCTGAAGAACTTCCACGAGGAAGAACTTCGTTACCGTGCAGGTGACCGAGCACTGGATCAGATTTCCCAGAGAGATTGTGTATCTCACGGGAGATACTCAAGAACTGTATAGACACAAACCTGTGCCACGGGCAGGCTGGAATCTGGCTGAGCAGACAGGTCGGACCAAATGACCTCGTGTCTCCTAGCCTGGCCGGCTGTGTGACCCTGTGCGGCGCGGCCCCCGCGCTCCCCGCCGAGCCCGCACGCCGCTGCCGCTGCCCGCCCGCCCGGGGCGCGCTGCGGAGGCGGCGCCGGCGCCGTGGGCTGAGCGGGCGGCGGCTGAACTGAAAAGCAGACTCGAAATAGGTTTATTTCCTCTTCTGTCAGACGTTCCCTCCCCTTCCTTTCCCATTCCGTTTTAATGAACGTCATGTGCTAGAGTGTACGTATCTCTGTGTTCTGTACAGGGTCTGATTATCTCTGTTGAGAGGGAGGCCAGGTGACGTGAGATGACGTCTTAGGGAGCTACTGAATGCTTGCAGTTTCAGGCTAAGATCACCAACGTAGAAGACAGTGGCTAATGTGCTTTACTGACCTGGCAGAGGCTATCTTCAGCAGATTTTATGTCCAAGGCTTTGGGGAAAAAAAAAGTTGAAGATTAAACTAAAAGCTTTAAACTAACTTTATCCATTGTCCTTTCTATTCAGCATTCAAAGTATAGAGCATTTGTGCTTGGTGGGAAGCAAGAGGAGAAATTTCAGTCAGAGGTCCTTTTAAACCAATGACAGCAACCTACTTTTATCTGAAAGAATAAGTTATCTTTAGTTTAATGACTGCTGAAATGTCTGATGGCTCACAGCTGCACTGTGCTTATATGGAGTTCCAGGGGTGATATACAACAATGTAGCAGACATCTTGTAATGATCCCAGTGTTATGGTAGAAAGGACAGACCATTATTATTGAACCTGATGTTGGTTAAAACATCTGTATGTGAAACCTGCCTGTCTTTAAAACAGAAGATAGTGACCACCATTCTCTTCTGTAGTTGTTTTTCATGGGAATTCTATTTTTCGTTTCAGGACAGAAGGGATGTAGTCCATATAATAATAATATCACTATGAAATTATCTTTCTTTAAAAACACAATATTTAACAGAAATTACTTTCTGAAAAGGTTTGAAGTTTGTCAGAGAGTATTCCATTAAACTACCTGTTTGTGGTTCTGTGCAGACTTTATGGTAGAAATTATAAGCTGACTTTTGTTGAAGTAATCATGGCAATGGATGAATCCTAAATAAATGTAAGGAATTATCACTTCCCTTGAATAAAATACCAAGCATCAAAAATGAACACCAGGTTGGTTATGTGTGTGAAATGACCAAAGCAGTTAAAAAAGGTAATACATGTTCAGTGCAATAACCTCCAAGCAAGGCATTGAGAACATCAAAGCACCTCAGTCTGAAATGATACAATGAAGTGCCTTGACAAAAATGCTTTGAAGGGCTGATCTAACTTCTGGTACATGTGATATGCACGTGAGAAAATAAAGAGAAATAAAATCAGTTTTTATTTATTTTTATATTACACACAATTATTATTATTTTTCTGGGGATAGTATACCAAAACTACTAGTATTTAAAATGCCTTGCATATATTACAAAAGTATCCATTTTTTCCTTAGTCTACTACACCACAAAGTAATCCACAATGTTAAGCAAGACAGAAGAGCAACCTTCATATAATACTTGCTTGTTATGTCCAACACATGTTTTGTGCTTCTGTCTTGGTGAAGTGGGAGTAGATCAAGGATTATGAGAAACTTGCTTCAGTATTAATTATGGAGTACCCTTGTTCCTGTAATACAGTTAGTACATGTCATCATATGCTTGACTTAAATAGGCTGGTTTATTTAAGAAAACTTCAGCTAACCATGTGACAGTTTAGGGTGCAGTCATTTGACTGATTGCTATTTTTGTCTTTCTAAAATGATGTTACATTAATTTTGAAAGTACTGATGTATTTTGTATGAGTTTCTAACACAGGGTGTCTATTTTTACACTGCAGAAACTCATACTAAAGCATTATGAATTTTTTAGGGATACTAAAGAGGAGAAGTGAGCAAACTTGCCCTGTATTACTTGGCTTTAAAAAAAAATCCTGTAAAAGAAATTTTGTCTGGCATAAGCAAAAAGGCATTTCCAGTCTTTCAAGTACTGTGTGAAATGAAAATCAGATTTAAGTCTGTTTTGTTTGCTCTAAAGAATTTGAAATGTGTAGAATTACTTATTGACCTCTTTGTAAAAAATTGCAATTGTTTATCATTTTCTAAATAGCAGAGATCTGTCCTCTCCCTCAAGAGATGTCGTAAGTCCATTGTGGAAATGGTCATCTGCTGCAGGATGTCTTCCTAGCCTTGCCCCAAGAAGGAGGTATCTCATACTTGCTTCTGAAGATTATTCTTTACCTTTTACTTAAAGTACTGCTGATTTTTCAGGAACTTACCATTGCTTTAGTTGTCCTTCTTAATGGAAGCAATTGGTGCAGGGAAAAAAGGGAAAGTGAGAGATCTCAAAGTATGCAAATACTGCATAAATAGAAAGAAGGCGAACTTCAGGTAGGCTGAAAATGATACACATTTAATTTTTTTTTTTTTCTTGATAGACTGAAACAGACGAGATTCACTTTTGATTTTGGTTGGGTCATGGATGGGGCATTATGTTAAAATTCTGCATGTATAAATTAAATGTGATTGTCAGTAGGCATATGGAAAAAAGTGGCTGACTTGGTATGAACCTGTGAAACTGCATCACTTTAGAAACTGTCTGCTTCCTGCTCTGAAAAACAGTGCCCACTCCTTCCCACCCCCAGTCCCTAGAAACTTAGATGAAAATATGCACCAAATCTGTACATTCTGAATTCTCTTTGAAGAATATTGACATGTTATTGCATTTGTAGTATTACAAAGGCTAAAGTGGCTGAATGAAGCACAGATGTGAAGTTGAACTAAAATGCTTTTTATGCACTAAAATACATGCATAACAGAGCACAAAAGATCATCTCAAAGAAAAACTGTTCTAACTGGTGAGATACATTAGAGATAAAGAGTCAAAACAAATTCTCCAATGTGCATGTAGGCAAGCATTGGCTTCCAAATGAAGGAGTGATTGTTTTCAAGAGTGATGAAGAGTTGTTAGCTTTATTATCTGGAACTGACTGGATCTGTTTAATAAGAGGTGTATAGCAACAGACAAGGCAGATTTAACTAGGTAGAGGTTAAGTTTTAGTAGGAAATGATTATCTAGTTGATAATTACAGGGAACATAATAGGATCTAGAGATGTTTATATGTTGCTATCCACTAAGTTATTTTGAAGAGCTTTTTCTTATTCTCCTTGCTCTTATCATAGAATCAGAGAATTTTTACCTTTGGAAAAGCCATCAATTCAGCACCACCACCATGTTCATCATTATACCACCTCCTCAGGTGCCATATCCACACACTTTCTGAACACTTCCAGAGCGCATGACTCCACCACTTTCTTGGGCAGTCTGTTTTAATGCTTTACAGCCCTTTCCTACTTCCAGAGGGGCTAACCATTATATTTTAAAATATTTCGTGATTATTTTAGTTGTATGGTCTGATCCTGAAAGTCATGCTGTACAGCTTATTTAGTAGTAAATATTTTTTTAGTAGCCTGTAAAAATGCAGGACTGAGGAGCCAATCTTTGTCTGAAAACTTGTCTCTGCATAAATGTCAGTAATCTGTGACTCAATTTGTTGCTTGCATTGCCTTGTCAACAATACTAAATGAACAAAATTTATGTAAACTTATAAGCTCCTTTTTTTAGCTTATGACACCTCTGATGTCCTTGCCTTTCCACACAGTGTGTAGATGTGTATATATTTCTTCTAAGTCCATTGATTGTCCCATTAAAAGGTATATTCATAAGACTGAATTTCCTACAAATTATAAAGTTATTAAAATTGGAAAAGACCTTAAAGTCCAGCCTTTGACTAATCACCCCATGTCAACTAAACCATAGCCCTAAGTTGCATGTCTAGTCATTTACTGAACACTTCCTGGGATGGTGACACCACCACCTCCCTAGTTAGCTTATTTCAATGCTTAACCACTCTTTTAGTGACAAAATTCTTTCTCATGTCCAACCTGAGCCTGCCCTAGCCCATCTTGAGGCTATGTGTTGTTCTCCAGTTGCTAATTGCCTGAGAGAAGAGGCCAACCCTTGCCTGCTACACTCTCAGGTAGTTTTAAGAGAGGGATAAGGTCACTCCTGAATGTCCTTTTCTCCTTTATCTTCAGGCTAAACACCTCCAGCTCCCTCAGCTGCTCCTCATAAGAGTTGTGCTCCAGACCCTTCATCAGCTCCATTGCCTTTCTCTGGTCACTCCACACTCCTCAGTGTCCCAGGTCAGGATCTGCTGTTGACCCCTAGGTCTTTTTTGGCTGAGCAGCTTTCCGGTCTTTCTGCCCCAAGCCTGTAGCAGTGAATGGGGTTGTTGTGACCCAAGGCTGGGACTGAGTACCTGACCATATTGAATCTCATACCACTGGCCTCAGCTCATCGATCCAGCCTGTCCAGATCCCTCTGCAGAGTCTTCCTGCCCTCCAGCAGATCAACACTCCCTCCCAATTTAGTGTTGTCTGCTAAAATTGAGGTGGTACTCCAAATAATTGATAAAAGACATTGAACAGGACCAGCCCCAGCAGCGAGCCCTAACAAACTCCAGTAGTGACTGTCAGCCAGATACCTCATCCCAGGCATCCATCCAGTTTTCAACCAGTAAACTGCACCTAAGTCATGAGCAGCCAATTTCTCCAGGAAGAAGCTGTGAGAGAGAGAGTATCAAAGGCTTTATTGAAGTTCAGGTAGACAACATCCACAGCCTTTCTCTCATCTGCTAGGTGGGTCACTTAGTCAAACCTAGAGACTTAATTTTGGTGGAACCCATTCTGCTCCACAATCTAGTGTCACTGTTGCTGCAATTTTCAGAGATGCATTCTTAGCTCCCCATCAAGCTTTTACTTGATGGCCCTATAATTTACCATCACCTTATTTTCAAATTTATTATTTGCTCTGGTTAAATTAAATGTAAATAATTTGAAATAGTTTTGTATGCTTGTTAAAGATTCTACTTTAAGTGTTAAAAATTTTGTGAAACCAAAGAATAATAATTATATTTACTTTTTGTAAAAAATTCAATGGATAAACAATTCACTTTTGCACACAGTATTGTGTTTGAAAATAAATAAAGCTAGGGCATATTCCTGCTGTCTCATATAAGAAAAATGCATCTGAATTTGTGAGAATTGTTATGTAAATAAGCTTAGCAATGGCCTGCTACACCATTTTTACACTCTGTAAACAGAAACGTGTTTTCTAAAGGTAAAGTTGTTCTCCTTAGAAATAAATCCTAAACTAGGAACCAGTTTACCTGCCAAAAAAAAACAATTCTAGGTTCAATTGTTCAGTGACCTTTAACTTTAGCTAGTAAAAATAGGAGTTCTACATAGAATGGTCTTTTGGTTGAAATAATCAAGATGAATGCAGCACTTATATTAACTATGTTCTGCATTTTTGTTTACATGGAGTGAAAAAAGTTAATAGATTTCAGTAACTGATACGGAAATGAGTATTTTGATTAGGCCCATTACTATAATTCATTTTTTTCTTAAATGACATCACACTTTTACCAGCGTTAAATTAATAGAGCTGCTGCTGGGCCCTCTTTTTTTAGTAGAAAATTCTCATATTTTTAACTGATTTATTTTTGTCATGTGCCAGGACACATACAGAGCTGTTTTAAAACATTATTTTCATAACTAACTTAAATAAACTGACTCTGATTTCACCTTCAAAATATTTGAGAGATTTTTATCTACACCCCCTTTATTTGTCCTTTACTTGCCAGAGTCTGTCCGATACTATTTTTGTATTTGCCTGAGTCATACTTGAGTACTTCCATGTCTTCTGCTTTGCTTTAGACAGAGCTATGCATTTAAAATAATTCCATTAATAGAATTCACAGACAACTTGTAGCTGTACTGAATTCTCTTTTAAGTATTCTCTTACCCATTTCCCAATGTGACCAGTGTTATGGAACAAGCGAGACTGTTCCTATCTGTTGCCAACGCAGTGACAAAGTTCTGATAATGTGCTCTTTTCGTTCATGCTAGATACCTGGAGAAACTTTTAAAAGGGGGAGGAAGATCCTTCCCAATACTCATATGTTTTCTGATTAAAGCCCATGGGTTTACAAGTTCTAGGAAGTATAATTAATGTTGAATTATTTGCTGGAGAAAGACCATGAGAATAACTGAATAAATGAAT